GAGACTCCTAAGAGCACAATGTTGTTGCTAAGTGCCATTGAGTTGGGTCTGACTCATAGCTGGTTGTTGTTGTTAAATGCCGTTGAGTCGGTTCCGACCCATAGTGACCCTAGAGAGGGTTTCCAAGGAGTGACTGGTGTCCTTGAACCACCAACCTTGCAGTTTAAACTGACTTTGCAGTCTAGCGCATTAACCCACATCACCACACGAATCTAAATAGCATGGCTTAATACCTTTCACAACAAACTGATGCAGCACTGGAGGCACTCACTCATCTGTGCCACAAAATTTGGAGGATAGCTAGCCAGAATGCTCCTTAGAAGCCAGACTTGTCTCTCATATGTCAGACGTTCTGAGGAGGGACCAGTCCGTGGAGAAGAACATCATGCTTGGTAAAGTGGAGGTCAATGAGATGGAATGGTACAATGGCAGCAGCAATGGGCTTAAACGTAACAACTGTGAGGATGGCACGGAACCAGGCAGTGTTTCATTCTCACCCATTTTGCTCTTTATGTCTCTTAGCCAGACTAGTTTCACAAATCCCTAGTTGTCATGTGCCACCAATGCCTTCCTCCTTTCTAACCATTCTTAAAGCAACAGAGTCCTCATGTTTTCACTGAAGGCTCCTCATGCTCAGACAGATTGTATGGACACTGGGTACAAATCAGTGGTCTGTACACGTTCCTCCAGTCTACTCACTTCCCAGCTCCTTCCTAACAGGACACTTACAGAGCCTCTTCCATCAAGCAGGCCCTGTTCTGGGGGCACTAAGATAATAGCCCCCATTCCTGAGACACTCTCACCAACCCCCTCAGAGATCTGAAGCTCCTTTAATCACGATCAGTTGAGAGCAAAAGGACTCTTAATGTGTGATGCTTCCTCCTCTTGGAAAGCCCCAGGCTTTACCTCCATAAACATAAAGCTTGAAGGTCTCCCCAACTAGAATGTCTCATCCACTCACCTCTGCTGAGTGACCTTTCCTGCTTTCCCCATAACTCTATTTTAAAGTCTTGACATGAGTCTAGAATCCATGATGAATTTTGAAGTTGTCTTTTCTCCCAGCAGTTCGTCTAACCTTATGTCAACCTAATCATAGACCCTAGAAGAGACCTTCTTTCTCCCTGAGGTCTGGCATGTACAGACTTGTAATTCCCAGAGGGTCTTTTCCTCTACAGTCAAAGCAGGTGTAAGGTGAACAATGCAATAGCTTGTATCTGAAAGGTCTTCGTGTATAGCATTGTCGATAAATCTTTACAGTGAACCCCCAGGAACAAGCATGATGGAGAAAGCAATTTTAATACCAGGTTCCCATTGTCCTATGACCTCCTTGTAACAAACTAATGAGCATGTATCCTTGACCAATCATGTAGCCCCTCACTGTTATCCACCTATACCTGTCCAGTCCCTCTTTTAGACATCCCACATTTGACCCTCCTGATGGTCTTCCAGCCAATTATGATTCTGTAACTTTTAACTCCTGCTCCAATTGGTCACAAATGTTTTCTTTCTCACTGTCTGGCAAAGCAGCCATTTTCACTCTGAGTCTGATAACTTCCCAGTCCAAATCTCGGGACTTGCAGTGAATCCCTTCATTTGACTTTCACCGAGTTTGTGTTTTCACTCTAGGAAAATTCCATCCCAGTAGCTGTCCTCACACACCACTTCTACTGCTGTCTGTTGCTCTAGGAGGGACTGTGTCTTTTATCTCCAGAATGTAGACCATCTTTTGGTAGGCATTCAATAACTGTCTACTTACTGAAAACACTTCCAATTAAAGCCTTGAATTATAGAAAAGTTTTCTGGTACACAAATGGCATGAGTTTTGCACCTCCCTAAGGGGCCTGGGAAATCCCTAAGAAGCAAAAGCCATCAACTCCAACGCCCATGGCATACAGATTGTTGTTGTTAAGTGCCATCAAGTCAGTTCTGACTCAT